AGGCGGGGGGACAAGTAGGACCAGCCTGTTATCCCCGGGCCTAAGCGAGAGCACAAGTGTCAGCGGCTTGGACACCCTCCCCTGAGATTCGGGGAAAAACAAAACCACACCAAGCCGGGAGATGTGTCAGCCTCAAGGGTGCAGTAAAACTCACCTTTATTCCATCAGAGGCTTAGTTATATAAGGGAAGATAAGCAAGTAACAGAAACCAATGGGAATTGATTATCTCATCTTTAGGCAGGTTTCGGGTTAGGTGGGGAGGCGGAGTTAGGGCCAAGAGCAAGCGCACAGGAAGTTAGTTAGGCCACGAACGCAGAAGTAACAAGGGAGGATGGAAACCTCCAGTCTGTGGCCGTCACAGGCCTAAAAGAGGCAAAAGGTCCCAATATGCCCCACCTGCCAGGACCTCCTCCAAGGCAGCCTCACTTCCAAGGGGCTGCTGGCACATGATGGCTTTTCTACACGTGCACAAGCCTGTAAAACCTGAGGCCCTGATAAAGCAGAATCCACAGGGAGAGCCAAATAGAGTTCCTAGTATTTCTTCTCAGTTCTCTTATTTCTGAAGAAATGATTCCCATGAAAAGCCATACCTTTTGCTAAAATGAAATTAAACCTGCTTGCAATCAGTCATTACATATGAGACCTAAATGCAACAGAAATTGATACCTATTGGTTTTTTGCAAGAAATAAAGGAAAGCTCTGAGGGTTTGTTTTCAGAAATAAAAATTCATAGGCAGCCTTTATCAGAACCCAGAACCCTTACCTCTCCTTTCAAGGTAAGGCAAACTCACTACCTGCCCCACCCCAGCCCCGCCCAGCCCACCTTCTGTCTTTAGTGGGTCTCCCAAATGTTGTCTCTGACTCCTGGCATTCCCTCCCTTCCTGCCTGTATGCATCCACCCCACACCTCCCCTCACGCACCCTCAGACCTGTAGCCTGAATGTGGATGAGGCCTCGGCTGGTTCCAAGTAGCACCCTCATGTGCTCTTTATTGCCAAAGCAGGGGAGATGCAGGAGGCTTGCACATCCCTGTGGTAGGAAGTAATGTTTGTCAGCATCATCAGCCTCCTGACGTGGAAAAAAGGGATCTAGTAACCAGGGACATGTGACTGGAGCAAAGGACCCAGCAGCCCTCCAGGGCCTAAGTTTAGAGAGAGGCCTGAGATGCCAGCTGGGGTGGGCACTGGGGTCCCTGCTTGCCTTTATGACAGCTCTTTTCATCTGGATGCCCCTGGGGCCCTGGGCCCTTCTCAGGTGGATCCTCCAGGCAGAGGATCCCCAGGATCTGTAACTGTTCCTCCTGCTCCAGGACAGTGACTGTGCTCAGGGCACCTGCAGCAGGATGGATGGGAAAGGCACAGGGAACCCACATCTCCTTTTGCTCCTCATGGGAACTTTAAATAAGAGTCACATACAAGCTGAAAGGATGGAAGGGGACAAGTCCTGGACAAGCCTGATAATCTCTATGAGCCTCAGTTCCCTCATTTGGGTAATGAAGATAATGACAGCAACTGTATCACTGATTTCTTGCGAAATTAAAATGCCAGAATGCAGACACAACATTCAGCATAATAGTAAGTGCCCAGCAAATGGTTTTTCTATCATTATCCTTATCATTTACAAGTGTTTCTTATGGGCCAAAAACTGTAGAAGATGCTCATTTAACTTTTACAAAAGTCTGGGTAATTTAAATTTCTGTAACAGATTTCTGAGGTAGAGATTATATGACTGAGGCTCAGAGAAGGTAAGCAATTTGTCCAAAGCCTACAGCTGGTCAGTAGAAAAGCTAGGATTTAAATGTATACTATAATTGAAACTCTAGATTTTAGTGCTCTGTCTCATGTCTGCTCTTCATGAATGCTGACATAGCAAGTCAGGCTCGAGCCCGCCAACACCTGCAGGACGGGCTCACTGTCCTTGTCTTGCAAGCGAACAAGCTCATGGTCACCTCCTCTCTCGTTACCTCACATCCTGGGTCGCAGCCGGGGCTGCCTATGTGAGTCCCTGCAGACTCAAGCACAGAGCATAGAACTAGAACAAATGAATGAGTGTGTGAATGTACAAATGCAAAGAAGGCAGAATCATGTGGTGGATTCTGGAAAGGAATAACTTAGTTTGAGATGTATGAAAGTGACAGATTTTGAGTTTTTTCTCTTCTCAAGGTAGATAAGAGTTGGACATGATTCAAAGCAGAAAAGAAGCAACAACTTGAAAGAAAGACTAATTACTGAGGAAACAGGGCGATAATTGCTGTTAACAGCAAACTGGTAGTCTAGTTTTTAGTTAAAGACCATTTCCTCAGGGAGGCCTCCCTTCACCCCTCAGTGAGGTTAGCACCCCATTAAATACTTCTGCAGGAGCCTTTACTTTTCTTAGCTTTCCTTTGGATGAAACATCACACATGGAATCACTTATTCTCCAACTACCTCACGTAACAGGCTCTGCAGAAGCGAGGATGTCATCTTGTTCATGCTCCATTCTCAGCAGCCAACACAGTGCCTGGTACACAGTGGATGTTCCATAGATGTTAATTAAATGCGAGATTAATCATATCTCTGCCCTGAGAGTGATGGTCCTTCTGCTTGCCAATACCAAAAAGAGAAAATTTTCACCTCCTGATAAAACAATCTAAAACAAAAGACACTCTGCCTGAAGCAACATACATATGAAAAGTTTTAGTTTAAGTGTAATTTCTTTGTGTCATGAATAGACTTCCCTGTTAGATGAGGAGACGGGAGCCCGCTTGTCGCTCTCCTGCTTCACATCCTCCCCTTTGTCTTTAAGGGGAGTTCTCACTATCCAGCCAGCACTCAGATCTCCCCACAGCCTGCTTTCCTGGCCTCCCCTCCCTTCACCTCACGCATGCCTCACCGTTCTCACAGCAACCCACTGAGCACTTGCTGACCCCACTTTCTGGAATACTCTTCTGTGCTTTCTGCATCTAATGAGCTCTTATTCTCCCTTCAAACTCAAACTAAAACCTTCCCAAGTCCCAAATACAGAACCATCTTTTCTCTCCCTGCCCACCCTGCAGCAGCAGTCCAGAAATCTGAGATGGTCTGTGATTCCTTAGGGCGTAACTGTGTCTCGTTCCTCTTTACCTCCACAGTGCCGGCACTAGGCTGCTTAAAGGTCCGCATGTTTTCTAGTGAAATGAAATACAAGAAACCCTTGGGTCCTCCTTGCCTAGTCTCTACCTCTCACACACCACAGCCAGTCCATCAGCAGGGCCAGTCTAGTCTGTCTTCAAAATACATCTGAATCCAGCCCCTTCCCCCCACTTCCCTCACTGCCTCCCCATCCAAGCCATCATCCCTTCTTGCCTGGGCTACCGCACTGGCCTCCTGACTGGCTCCTTGATTCGACCTGTAATCCACTCTGCACATGGCAGCCATGCTGGCTGTGTCCTTCCTCTGCTCGAGGCCATCCAGTGGCCTCCAGTGCACTTAGAATGAAGTTCAAACTCCTTCCTGAAGCCCTGTGGGCCTCACACTGCCCACTCACCATCCCTCCCACACGGCGAGGCCTGCCTCTGCACTTTGGCCCGTGTGACTTGTCCCTCGGCATTCACATCCCTGCTCGGTATCACCCCATCAGAGAGGCCTTCCCGGGCCACCTTATCTACAACAGCCCCCACATTTCCCTCCATCTCACCTTATTTTCCCCATTGTACTGATCCATATGGGACTTGTTATGATTACCTATTTGTATATCAATTTTCTCACTCTCCCACTGAGACAGTAAGGTCCTTGAAGACAGGAATACTGCTTTCCTCATAGGTGTATTTTCAGTGTGTAGACCTGTATAACACAAACTGCAGGTGCTCAGTAAATATTTGCTGAATGAAAAGAAAAGGTTTCTGCCAGGTGTCTGCCAAAGATGGCAGAAGGGCAGGTCTGGTGCTTGATGGCCAAAGCCACTTCTGGGCCACCAGGCAGTACCCATCGCAACCAGGCTGGAAGGCAGTGGTTTTACGCAGTTAGGGTGTGAAAGTTTCTGGCAATTTCCACAGAAACAAGTACCTGGCCTTCCTCAGCAAGTGTACGAACACCAACGAGTTGCATGGCACCTACTGCATCAGGCTCTAGGTGCATATTGTGGGAGACAGTGGAGGCATGATGCTCATTAGACCAGCAGAGGCCAGGCTGCCTCAACCACCTCAGGGTTGGAGGGGACCCTGCCAACCTTGGCAAAAAAAGTGGGTGATGGCTTCTGCTGCCCTCAAGGTTATGTGTCTGAAGCCTCCAGGAAAGATTATCCACCTGGGGCATGTGGCCCGCAAGGTTGCCTGGAAGTACCGAGAGGTGACAGCCAGGGAGGAGGAGGAGGAGGAGAAGAAGAAGGCCAAGATTCATTACTGGAAGTAAGGTCAGCTCACGAGCCTACGGAAACAGGCTGAAAAGAATATAGAGAAGAAAACTAACCAATACACAGAGATCCTCAAGACCCAGAGACTCTTGGTCTGAGTACAACGAAGATGTTATTCTTCATGCTTGGCCCAACCTGGCCTTTCTCCATCACCCTCTTGGGGTGTGGGGACCACAAAGCCAGCCAGCCAGGTGCCACAGGCAGCCGGGCTCAGAAGGCTGGGGACACCAAAAGGGCCTTCATCACTGTTCCAGTTGAAGAAGGGCCTTTCTTTAGAAAGTGACTTTAAACATCTCTGAGAACTGTGCACCATAATTTGTCTATGCTCTACTTGTTCATGAGAGAGTTTTAGGAACTCAGTCATAGGAGCAACCAGTTACTTAGGTTTCAGTATTTGCAAAAGGGAACTGGAAAACTCACTTTTTCCTGGAACCCTGTGCTGTGAATGGTCATCTGTTTGAAACTTTCCTTGTGGTCACATACCATACTCTCCCACTGTGAGAACGGGGGGTGGGAATGCCTGTGGGGCAGCCTGGGTGGGGGTGGCACAGGGGTGTTTATAGATGTGCACAGGCCGGGGAGACATGTGACCCAGAGGCACCATGCATTGTTCTCGCTGCTTTCCTGTATTTTGTAATCAGAAATGCATAAATTATTTTTAAAGGGGGGGAAAAAGGATGACTACTGGGTTCCAACATAGAAACATACAACAGAGGACAGTGTTTTGAAAGATAAAGCTGGATACAGAAAAATAACCATCTAAGGCTAGCTTGACAAAATATAACAAAATTGCATGACTCCAGACACAAGAGCTTTGCTTTCACGAATTCATTTTCTTTTTAAACAGCCAAAATTGTTAAAAAGGGGACTTTGTTCCCTGGGGGCACATTGATGGGGATAGAGTTGCACATTACTTGTGGGGCTTTGGTCCAGAAGTGAATGAATCTGACGCCTGAGTCATGCCCAGGGATGGCCGAAGAGGCAGAGGGCGGGATCATGAAGACTTTGTGTGGGTTCCACAGAGATACGAATGTGGCTGAAGTCCAGAGTATCCCCCAAGTAGCGCATTTTCATTTCTGCCATCTTTGACAAGAGGTGGCTATGTCAATTTCCATCATTTGTCCCATGAAATAGGTTCCTTCTGATTGATTATTCTCATTCCTTGTTTCTGCTTTCTGCCGTCTTAGGGCTGTATTTCTGTGATGAACACAACTCTAGAAAAGCTTTTAGATTAAAGATGCTTTCTAAAGATTAAAGTAAAACCTCTTTGTTTCAGATTCTGCTAACTCTGTGAACCCAGAATTCATTACCAGTATCACTGGGCTCACACGTACGTTAGTCCAGTGGTGAGGAAGAAAGGGTGTTACTAAGCAAATTAGTGGAGGAAATATTATTTGCAAAAGGAGTAACCAACTTAAAGACTTCTCCGTGCCAGGCTTCAAAATAGTCTATCCGAGCTATTAACTTTTTCACATTTAAAAAATTGAAGTATAATTCACATGTAGTAAAGTTAATCCTTTTTAGTGTATAATTCTGCCAGTTTTGAAAAATACTTGGTTATATAATCGCTACTGTAATCAAGATACAGAGCAGCTCCATAAGCCGCCAAATTCTCATTCTCCACCGTGCTTAAGCCTCGGCCCTGTCCCCACCCTGGGAAACCACGAACTGGTTTTCTGCCTGCGTAGTGGTGTCTATTGCAAACCCATTGTGGATCCAAGACCTCGGCCATTGCATGCCGGTGTTTACCCATCCCCAGGGGATGGACATTCACGTTGTCCTTTTTAGTTTGGAGTGAGTAAAAATAGAGCCACTATAGAAATTCATGTACAGGTTTCTATGTGAACATAAGTTTTTATTTCACTCGTGTAGCTCCCTCAGAGTAAGACTGATGACTTATGTGATAACTAAGGGTTTAACTTTTTAAGAAACTACCAAACTGTTTCTAAAGTGGCTGTTCCACTTTGCATGCCCAACAAAAACATATGAGGGTTCCAGTTGCTCCACATCCTTGCCAGTTATTTTTAGTAGTAGATTGTTTTTTATTTTAGCCATAGTAGATGTGTACTAGTATCTCATTGTAAATTTAATTTACATTTTGCTGTTAACAATGTTAAGCATTTTTTTATGTGCTCATTTGCCAACCATATTTTGCCTCTGGTGAAGTGACAATCTAAATCTTTTGCCCATTTAAACAATTGGGTTCAAACTATTAAGTTGATGGCTTATGAATATATAAATACTCATATATATTATTTCATTTGGTCATTACAACTCTGAGAGAGAAGCAGGGCAGATGCTAGTTTGTAATTCTTAATTCTCCATTTTGCTGAGGAATTGAGGCTGGAAAAGGTTAAATGACTTGCCCAACTTCACCCCAGGTGAACCTGAAGTACTGAAGCACTGAAGTACTGGAGCACCAGAGTGCTGGGCACTGGATACTGGAGTATCAGAGCTTGAAGCCAGGCCTGCCACTGCCACTCTCTCCCCCACTAGTTGCTGACCCGCCCTGCCTGGAGAGAAACAGGGAGGCCTTCTGCTCAGCAGGACTGTGACCTCCCCGCAGAGGCCCAGGCAGAAGTCAGGAAAGCCCAGTCTGTCCTGCCCGTTGTGCCCCACTCAGTTCCAACCCCTGAGCCCAGCATTTCCCTTGACTTTGTCTCCCTTCTCTGCAGTCCAGTTCCCACCTAGTAATATTTAGAAAAATATCTATCAAACAAATCTTCCCTGACTTTCTCCTCTTCCCACCCCCTGGTGGGAATTTTTGCATTTTCATGGGGGCTTTTAGAGACCTCACTTATCTGCTGGTGGTTTGCACACTGCTCAGTCAGAGCTTCCGGGTTCCTGACAATTGGCACGGCAAGCCGGAAAGGGGTGCGTGGGGGAGGTTTGGATCCACCCCCTGACCAAAGCAGTTCCCTTCTTACTGTTTTACATATTGGCTTTCATTTAAGATTTTATTGGAAAGAAGAATGCTGCTTCCTAAAACTTGCTTGAAATAAGTGACTTGGCAAATAGGTCATATAACCTGTAAGGTAGGTATTTGATTCATTGAGGTTGACCCCTTGGCATCCCACATGCCCAGACCCTCAATTTGGATCATCCAGATTTCACACCCTTGGAAACTGGAGCTGAGCTTCCTAATCTGTCCTCAGTGACCATCTCTGATAGGTTACCCCATGATATTGGCTCCCTTTAGTGTTGGGACATACAGGAAGGGCTTGGCCGGTGTCTTTAGTCCTTAATCATTTCCATCCACTTACTCGAGGGCACTGGCCAAATAGTATCTTTTTCCATGTGTGTCCTGATTTGAAAAAGGCTAGAAAACACTAGAATAGAGTAGTGGCTTGGGCTTGGGCTTAGGCTCTGGAGTTATGTGGAGAGTGATACTGATTCTCACTCATTAACGGAGTGGTCCTGGAAAATTGCTTAATTTATCTAAGCCTCAGTTTCCTTGTCTGTGAAATGGGAGATAATAGCACCTTATTTCCTAGAAGCATTGTAAGAATAAAAAGGTAATGATACAATATACATGGCCCAGCTCCTGAGACGTATGAAGCAGCTCAGGATGGCAGCTGCATTGTCAGTGGCCCCTTCTGGCCCTGAGGTTTGCCTTTCCGGTCCCAGAGGGAAAGTTTGACACAGGTTCACTGCTACACCTTTGATTAAGCTTTCACAATGGGTGTAAATGTGAAGCATCAGTAAGCAAATACAGACATATTGTTAGAGTTATTAATGTTTATAATATCTAGTTTTCATCTCTGTAGTAATAAAGGAGAAACCAATACAGGTGTGAAGGCCATTAAGCTGCCTCCGACTGGAAACAATGCTTCAGAAAGAGCAGAAACAAAGTGATATAATTAATTTGTTCTGAAATTTTATAAATGCACATTTTTCTTATTTGTATTGTTACAAAAAGCAATCACCTTAGTGAAGGTTGAACAGATCCTAATGAGCCATAATGGTTTGAACACAACTTTAAAAGATTTTTCTTTTGAACACTAAATGACTTCCCATTACTGTCCTTTGATCTACTCTAATCATTTTTATGTTTTCCTACAATATTCTAAATTAGAAGAAAATATATTTCAATACAACCTCATTCATAATCTCTAACCCAGCTACTGTGGGTTACAACAGAAAAGGTTTTCACAAGAAGTAACACTTACCAAATCCATGGATCTCTTTGCAGAATAATTTTATTCATCTGAGCGGTAAAACTCTTTACGTCTCAAACTGGCTCAGTGTTTCCAGTATTCGGAGTGAGTATTTTTAATTCAATCCAGGTTCGGAGTGTGGCACTGTGAAGGATATGTTGAAGTACATCATATTATCCCTGCCTTTAAGGAATCTAGTATCTTATGCTCTGATTCCTGCTCTTATTTCCAGCATTTTCACAAATCGGCACCCTAGCTATGGTGACCATTGAAGGTTCAAACACAAATGGCATTTCTGAGCCTCCATTTGGAATAACAGTGGATCTGCTCTGACTGTCACTTTAGATGGAAGTTTCTGTCCCACTGCCCCAGAAGAGGAGATGAGCCCCATTTCTCAGTCAAAAAAGTGGATAGCAAATGACTCCAGTGACAGTGTTCCAGCTGAGCTTGTAGAACATCACCCAATTCAGAAAGTCATTTAACAACCCTGATCCATTACCTACCAGCTTTGTAGGCTTGAACAAGTTACTTTGCTTCTTTATGCCTCGGTAAAAGGCTTTATCTGAAAATGTGCAGGTTTACTTGTGTTTAAATACATTTAAGGGCTTAGAAGAGTGCCTGGTCCCTAGTAGGCACCTCAGTGTTAGCTGTTGCCATTATTAGTCATGCCAGTAGTGGTAATACTATTATTACCTTCCTGGACACCCTAATCCAAAAGGCAGCCATGAAGTTCTGTATCTCAGCCCTGTACTGGGAGTGGTGAGTGGTAAAGGAACCCTCATTCAGGCTTGGGGGACCAATCAGCCCAAAGCTGGAAGCCCTCAGGCTATCAGGTAAGATGTGGGGCAGGGGACAGACCCTCCTATCCCTGCAACAATCCCTGACTCCCTTCTAAGGGGTCTCTCCTACCTTTCAGCACAGGATAAAATTAACTCTTCTTCAGTATGAGTTACACTTTCCTCTTCTGTACAAATTATTTGCTCAAGGTAGAACCACCTGGGAAAACCAATAACATAGTTATTTCTTGTAATAAGTACTTTATTCCTACCAGTGGGTCACCCCTCTGGTTACTATTACTTGAGTTATATTCCATAAAATAAACAAGTTGTTAAAACACAGTAAAAGGGGTGTTTTGTTTTGTTTATCTCTGGCATAGGAAGTGAAGGAGTGTATTTTATTTTTCAATATTCCTGTATCTACCAAATAATTTAAGAGATTGTACATCTTTTAACTCAAAGATAATGGGGGATATAATTTGTGCACCTATATACTAATAGTGTGTAATTAATCAGTCTGTTTTCTAGGAGAGATCCAGAATGGCTAGAACCGACAACAGGAAAGGGAAAAAACTTGATCCTAACGTAGGAAAGGGACTTGCTTCTTTACCCAGGGACTGTAAGATATTTGGGGCTTTCTTACCTGTGGGAGCATGTGAAGCTCCACAGGCACACTGATCAAGCAGTGATTCCCCAGGGAAGAAAATCCTTTAAGCTAAGTCATTACAGCATTGCAGCTCGTACCATTAACAAGGGACATCTGTGAAAAGCTGGGGCAACTTGACTGGCAAGTCCTCAGATCCAGAGCTCTCCTTGTCCCTCCCCCTCTCAGGGGCCGCCGATGAGGCGGAGAACTCTCCCCAGGGCACTCTCTATTGCTGGCATCCTCTTCTGCACCCTTTCCTCAAAACTTATTTATTCCTGTCCAGCTTCAAACACACATTAGCATTTCACCACCATCCTCCCTCTGCAAGCTGATAAAAGTCACAGACACAGACCTATTTTTGGCAGATTATTCTTTAAATGAAGATCTTTTGCTGTGACCTATTTCCTCAAGTAGGCATTTGGTTTCAAGTCTTCCATTTTTATTTGTGGAATAGATGTATTTGTTCACCCAATGTACACTGAGCCTTACTGGTGTGTCAAACACTATGTTAGATACAAAGTTCGCTGAGGTAAGACCAATGTGGTCACTGCCTTCATGTCTATTACAATTTAGTAATCGAGACTGATGTTAATCAAATAAGCAGGGAAAGATATAAATTACAAGTCCTATGAAGAGATAAAAGCAAGATGTTCTTGGGGAGAGCAGAATATCTCCTGTGGACTGGGGCTCTCCCTGGGGTGATATTTAAGCCCTAAAGAGTGGAGAAGGACCTGTCCTGTGACTAGCTGGGGGGGAGGACCTTCTGTAAAGGAGGATCGGCAATGACATCTCAGAACAGAGAATGAGTTTGGTGCATTTGAGGAACTGAACGAAGACTAGCATGGGTGGAGAATAAGGGATGAAAGGAGATGAAGCTGGGAGGCTGGCAGGGGCCAGATCATGCAGGCTTTCGTGGGTCATATTAACAATTTTGGGTTTTAATCTAAGAACAGTGAGAATGCACCAAAAGTTTTAAGCAAGGGAATGGCATGATCTAATTTATGTCTCAAAGACACTATTGTGGATGCTGTATGGAGAATCCTTAGAGGTAGACAAGAGTACAAGTATAGAGAAGAGTGGGTTATTGCAGTAGCCCACGTAAGAAACAATAATGTGACTGGACCATCCCTGGATATGGTAACTAGGTTAGTTGTCCTGGGGGTGAGCTCGGTGCAGGATGTATGATTAACAGTATCCTACACTTAACTTCTCATCTGAGCAACAAAATTTAGCTTTGAATTTTCTGTCTTTAACAGTATCCCCAAGGCATGCCTGTGAAAGACATCCACACTGTGCCCTTCTTTTAAGTGTGATTATCGTGGGCAGCCCACACTGGTTGCATCTCCCTGTCCTGTGTCTTGAACTCAGGCAGTGAAAGTGAAAGTGAGCATAAGCTGACAGGGTCCACGTATATTTAAAGAGAAGACTAGTAAGACTTGCAGGTGGATGGTATTTGAGAGGTGAGAGAGGAATCAAGGATGATGCCAAATGATGGTTGTACCATTCACCAAGACGGGGAAATAAAGGACAAGGGCAGAATAAGGCTTGGGAAGAAAAGATTTCCATTTTGGACTTGTTAAGAGAAGATGCCAACGAGCTGTCTGAGTGGAGGTACAAGGAGGCAGGTGGGTACACCAGCACGGAGCTGGCAGCCTACAGCAGAACCACTTGAAATAGTGCTGTTGTGTAAGAGCTACATGAACAGAACAGAACACCTAAGAGAGACTATGAAGGAAGAAAATGACCTAAGGCCTGAGGAATGCCAACATGTAGAGGCCAGGTACCAGAAGAGGAACCGACAAGGTAAACTGAGATGGAGCAGACAGGGAGGAGAAAGAGCAGGAGGATGGCGGGTCGTGGAAGCCAAGAGTTCAGTTTGTTTCCAGGAGTGGCGGTCCGTGGGGAATGTAGTGAGACTGAGTATTAGGGCGAACACAGAGAGGTGTCCTCTGTATCTGACCACAGAAAGGTCACTGGTGACATTGACGAGAGCACTTTCACTCAGGTGCAGGAGGGAGAGGGCAAGCTGAGGGCACCAGTCTGCTGGTGGATGGCACTTGTGAGGTGAGAGAGGAATAAATGGCTTTTTCCCTTCTGATTTCAGCCGTAGGACCTGGGAGCATTGTTGGGACAAAGGGGCCCTGGGAATACCAGCAGGCCCACGTGGCTGAGTTTGTCTTTCTAGGATGCATCTCTATTATTTCTAATTCTAGTTAGAACATCTCAGACAGGAAGGATGTGTGAGGCTCATCTTCCTGGGCAACAACTCTGTAAATGAACATGATCACATGCTTTAGGCAGTAGCCAGGTTCAAGGAAAAAGAGAGAGAGAAGGAAAGGGAATAAAGTTTGAAGGAAGAGAACTGAATGTGGTTCATCCTTCTGGTTACTGAGTGCTAATATCTCATGAAAACCAGAGTTTGAAGTGTTAGAGAAGGGCTCTTCCTGACCGTTCACATCACCTTGATGAGGCAGGTGAGAGGGCGAGATGGGCAAGGGGCCACCTGCGACTGGCCTTCGGTGCTTCCCAGGCACGTGCCAGGCATGGACGCCGTATGTCTGGTATTGAACTGGAGAGTTCTTGTCCAGAAAAATTTAAGTGTTAAACCATATATAAAAATGTCCATTTCATTTTGTGATCTAGTTCCTTTGAACTTCTGACTACTGTTCTTGATCAGCAGTGACTTGGAACATTTTAGCTTCTCATTTCTCCCACTAAGTATTTAAAGATCTTTAAAAAACATTTGAGAAATCTCTTTACAATAAGAGGGATTCTTCTGTATTTTTGCATTTTGCGTATTTTTGCATTCTAGTTTACTGTTCTAAATGTTCAGAAATAAATGCTAAGTATTCTCTTCAATAATGGGACCTAGTTCCTGTTGTCAGCAGTGGCCCTGAGCATGTCCACTTTACATGCTGTGATCCTATTTGCAAGGTGACATCTTAGGACAATTTTCTCAGTAAGTAAAAAAAGAGTAAGAAACACAACATTTCACTCCTAGCTCACCCATTCTGTAATCTTGGTCAAATTACTTAACTTCTCTCTGCTTCAGTTCCTCCTTTAGGAAATGGTGTGAATAATATCAACCTCTCTGTATCTCTGAAGTAATTTGAGGCCAGCTAACTGACTCTACCATATGTGATGTAATGGTGAGGAAAGAGCTATTAAAATATGAAATACCATGACCACGGTCCAGGTTAGAGATTACCATTGCACAACTACCCTCTAATTAGGCCTTTTGCAGAGATACCTTTTAACCCTTTCAGGCATTATCTTCCTAAATTAGTGGAGTTTGCCACTGTCTATCATTTATTAGTTTAAAACTCAAACCCAGCCAGAAGCAGAACATACTTCAATTGTCACTGAAAAGCATTTGAGGATTCAAAATATTTTTTGATGCAACCAGGGGTAACTGAGGTATAGCAAAATCCCACCTGGCAATCATAGCATGTGGGAATGGCTGGCTTACTGTGCTTATTCAAAACCTCACCGGCAAATATGATAGTGAATCTGTCCCAGTCCAGAATTAGGCAGCCACTGGACCACTGAAGAAAATTAGACCTCCCTTGCAAGGTGCTTTTCCCTTTGAAAGCACACGTTTCACCTGTATGAGGTCACATTTTATTTCCACCTTAGCAAGGGGGTCATTGAGGCTCAGAGAGATTGAGTAGTTGGTCCAAGATCTCACTGCAGGTAAGTGCTAGAGGCAGGATTAGATTCCAGGTCTTCTGATGCTTTTTCTGGGATGTTTTACTGTCTGAACATGATAATGGGTATCAGTCTAAGGAAAGAAGAAAGAGAACATTGTGCCCTAAATACTCCATTCAAATTTCACATCCTAGAAGAAACTTTTTTATAACTGATTTTATATGAATTTGAATTATTGGAATTATCAATCCACTGCCCTCTTCCTCTCCGTATCTCTTTATAAATCAGCATCAAAGATACCAGATAATAATCCTCAAATTTTAAACAAAGTAGACACTTGACATGTACATATTGATTATGAATAAGGGCCCCATAGTTTCTGAAAGATAATGTTACAGCGGCAGGAATTTGAATCACATGCACTGAGGCTGGTGTGTGGGATTGAAACTCTTACCCAGGAAGAGAGACTCACCCGCCACCCAGCCTTCAGACAGCAGTGTGGCTTCCTTGTTCCCCACTCACAACCGTACTCCAACTGTATGGTGAAAAAATTACATTCTAAAATGATATTCCAAAACTTAAGGATATCCAAAGGTCTTGGGACATATACCTTGCAAATATCAAGGGATCAATCACTCGATTGGATTTCCCTGCTTTAATTTTGCTTTAGTGGCCAGAAATTCAAAGATAATACTAGTGGTCATAGTAACTAACTTATCTCAGATTCCTAACACATCTGTTCTCCTACTTGGCTTCTGACCAGTGGTTGCTTTAAAAAAAACAAAATCATTTTTCATTGTTACCATTCTATTTTGTTTGTGTAAATTGTCTTGAATCTTTTCTGAAAGTGAAGAAGGCCTTAAAGCCCAAATAAATGTTGAAACTATGCTTCTTAGAAAGGATCATTTATTTTAATCCTGTGCCTTCTATAATATTAGAACTAAAAAGAATTAAGGACGATTTCTAAAAGACAGCAATGAATGTTTTTAGATGAATTTACCCAAATTCCGAGCGTTATCTGGAGGTAGCTAAGAATTATGCTTTGAGTGACACCTAATGGTTGAAAAAGTCACTCACCCAACTTCTTCCAGAGGACTCAGACCAGTGCTTCCCAGTTTGGTTCTCGGACCATCTTCAGAATCATCGGGGTGCCTCTTACAAATGCAGGGAAATTCCTGGGCCCTATCCTAGCTGAGTGGCTGGGTTTAGCCACCAGGGAAACTGTACTTTTCACAACCGCCTCCAGTTGATTCAGATGAGTTTGAGAACCACTGATTCAAGGGCTGCCAAGTCAGACATCAATCACACAGGACGGTCAGGCCTGGTGACACCCAGGCAGTTAGAAGGGACCAAGGCGAAGGGATGGGTTAGGCCCGGGCTCCGCCATGACCTCCCCGATCAGTCCCGGAGGGACGGGGGTGGGCTACGGAGGCTGCGGGGGCGCGGGGCCCGGGGGCTGCGGCCGGCGGTCCTGCTGGCGGGGAGGGGCGCGGGTGGGGGCCCGTGGCGGTGCCCGGCACCCGCGCGCAGAGGCCCCGTTGGCCTGGCCCTGTCCCTGCCGCGGAGGGAGGGGGCGGGCGGGGGGCGGGCGCGGCGCGGCCCCTAACGCCTGTGCTTCTCGCCCCGCAGACGAACCCGGCCCCTGGAGCTGTCCCGCTGCCGCCGCCCCAGCTCTGCCGGAAGTAGGCGCCTGCCTCGAGGACGTCCTCTCTCCATTCTCTCCATCGCATCCAGCCCCACCCTCCGACCCTTCCCACCAGATAAGCCCAGACCCAACTTGGGATATCAAAAGGGAGCACGACGTTAGGAAACCAAAGGAGCTTTCGGCCGGCGGCCAGAAGAAGCAGCGCCTCGGGGAGCAGAGGGAGCGCTCGGCGAGCCCGCATAGGGCCGCGCGGCCGAGGCTCGAGGAGGCGCCCGGCGGCCAGGCGCGGCCCGAGGCCGGCAGGCCCTCCTCGGAGGCCAGGGCACCCGGGCCCGCGGCGGATGAGGCGCGGGCCGGCGGGAAAGAGGGGCCCCGCGCCGCGGCGGGCCCGGAGCTCGGCCGGCGCGAAGGCCCCGGGGCCGCGCCTGCGTTCGCGGGCCCGGGCGGCGGCGGCGCGGAGCGGCCGGGCGCGCGGGAGGCCGAGGGCAGGGCGGGCGGGCGGCCCCCGGGGGGCGGCCCCGCACGCAGGGCCGCCGTGGCGCCGGGGCCCTGGAGGGTGCCCGGCTCCGACAGGCTGCCCGGCGTCCTCAAACCCGGCGCGTCGGCCGCGGGCAGATGAGACGCCGCAGGCCGCCCTTCTTACGTTCCGTCTCACGGCGTTTTAATTTATTTTCACTGTCACACGCATAGATCCACAAGGCACCAAGGCCTGGGAGCACGACGTGAGTCTACGAGCCGAGCGAGCACGGGCGGTTCGGCGTCCATGCGCAGACCTAACCTGACCCTGAGGTCCCCGGCTCCGCTGTGGGGGCCTTGGCAGCTATGGAAGAACCAAAATAATGTGAACATCACAGAGAGTGCAGTGTAGCTTTAGTAAGAAAAAGAAAGAAAAAAGTATTTCCCCCCACTGCATGAAGGATTTGGATGCCATCCAAACTTTATATCAAGAAACTGGACATGTTAAGAGCAATCACAAACTGGAATATCGCCTTAAAAATCAAACCGCACGGAGCAAGCTGAAACTGAGACAAGATTATATCTTTTAATTGATCTAAAGAGCTGTAAATAAATTGTTCTTGACGTATCTAGACAGGGGTTAAAAGGTTTCTTTGAAACATTCAGAACTGTTCGCCCAGGACACAGTCCCGTGGCTCACCTGCACCATCCGTCACGGGTGTGAGCAACGTTCCCTGCGCACCGCAGGAGAGTTAGAAATCTAGTGAATTCATTGGTGTGATGCGATTTTTACTGCCATTTCTGTGATCAAATCATATTTCTGTACATTTTCAGTGGTAGAAAAAGAGGTCTTAAAAATTGTATCCTAGGAAAGTTTGCCGTAAGTCAGAATTTTGCAGTTTAGTTCATAGACCTTAATTGGTTTTCAGCTAAAATACGAATTTTGTAATTGAAGGACCACGATCGAGATTGGCAACGCTGCAGTTCCTTTATGAAAAGGCTTTCCGATTGTCTCAGGCTAGCAGAGATAGTGGCTTCTTTGACAGCAATGTTGTGTTTCACCTATTTTGTTATTTTTAAACCCTCCTTCCATTGTTTCATTTTTCACTTTGATAGAGCAGAGGCAAAGAATTTCTCTTATATTTCTCAGATTATAATGAATTCCTAATATTAAAAAATCATTTTTTGGCCAATTTATTTTCACTAAAGAACATGGATCTTAGCATTCCTTTCTGCTTCTCTTCCTGTCCTTATTCGTTCTTTCAGATCCATGTGGTTTGCCAATTTTTTATTTCTTTAGCATCCTCTTGGTGTTTCTGTTTATCTTCTTCCATTTATGGTTCATCCCTAGTAAAATTCTAAGGCTTGCCTTTCTTCCCTGTTTTACCTTTTAGTTAATTATCCGTTGGTACTTATTTATAGCTACATATTAAAAGGCCAAATGTTTCCGAGGGCAGTTTCTCTGTGACTTCATCCTTCCTATATTCTGTCCCTTACAGAAGTTCAAGTGCAAATAAGACTCACCTCCCTACACTGTAGTCAGATAAGTAAAACGGGGAAATCAGGTCCATCACAAAGTTACACATAACAGCCTCCCCGGTTGACTCTTTCCTTCTCTGTGTAAATTGCAGTAACCTGAGCGCTAGCATTTAATTTCCATCAGCCATAGGAGTAGTTCAGTTGTTTGACAAGAGAATATGTTTGAAAGCCTCAGCTGAAGAGTCTTGCAGCTTGTAAAAGCAGTTTCCAAAAATGGAATCCATTCATCATAAACAAAAGCACAAACACATGTAGCAGTTTACAATACTTTTGGTTTAATCTCAATTAGTCATTCCCCCTGGACTAGAAATCGGGTAGAGTTTGCCATTAATTTATTGAATCTGGTTTTGGACAATACTTCTATAGTGTAACTGCACGTCCCAGTACTGTATCCTCTGACCTTTATTTTTCCATGTGTTACGAAAGGATACAAAAATTGAGATTACGCTTGCATAAACTCTAATTTGCACAGTTCACGGCTACTACTTGTGCAGTAATTGCTTTATGCAGCTGTAATCCATCACCTGTGAAGACAGCACATCGTCTAAATCCCATTCCAAATAATATTTCTGTGTAGTGTTAGCTGTGAATTTACCCTGTACAGCTGTATCTCTATAAATATACTTCCATGTATTAATAGTCACAGAAAGACTGTAAGTGAGCAACTATTTTTATGAAACGCACCACTATGGATAAATTAACTTTTACAGAAATCTTGTTTACTGTATGATATTCTAAAACACTGTCAAATAAAATATATATCCAAAAATCTTTTTTTTTTCCAACTATATAGGCTGTGTGTTAATTTGAAGGAAATGATTACTGGGGATTAATTTTTTTTTAACTGCACTCTTTATAAAATTTTTTAAAGTATAAGTTTAACAACCCAAACAGGACTTCTTTAAAATTTCAATCTAAATGCAGTGGAGTTACATGGGGAAAAAAACTGTTGATGTTTTTGCCCAAGTAAACTGAGAATTTTCTCATAGACAATCTGCTTGGTATTTGCCTGTCAGCGAACTACATCGTTTAGGAACTGGCAGTCTATTTCTGTTGCTTGCTGCATTGATTGATACTGAGCCTTTTTTCAAAAAGGATTTAAGGTATCAATCAACGATAAATTCCATCACATTTTTTCCTTTTAATTCAGAAATTTTTTCATGCAAAATTCCAAGGAGTTTATGCAGAAGCCAACATTTAGTGAATGCAGTGTAGAGGTCCAAAAGGAGTGGCCAAATACCCCTTTTGCAATGTATTACACACACACCTAGGAGAAGAGAGCTCTGTGCAGCGAGAGGATGAGGACAATGCTGCCATCAAGGAGTTTATAACCCAAAGAAACACTTCTCCACCCTAGTCCTCTCAAGACTTCCCACTGATGGTGGCAACAGGAGGCCTACAAATCCCAGGCTGACCACTTGAACTCCAATATAATTTTTTAAAAATTAAAAATACCATGTGTCACTTTTAGAAAAGGGAAGCAACTGACATGACACCAGGCACAAAAGTTAAGATATTTGCATAAATGTATGTCATTCTTTATGAACCAATTTGAGAATGAATGGTCAGGGGCAAACTGAAAAAGCAAAAGACTTATAAAACAATGTGATTAGCAAAATGGGGTGTAAATATTAATAATGCATAGCTAATTAGTATTTTAAAGGAAAAAGAAAGTCATTAGGACATCGGGAAGATTAGAAAGTAGAGACCAAAGGGATTTGGACAGAGTGAGAGCAGGACTAGGGCGAAGCTAGTGAAGTGCCCGGCCGGGACAAAAGCCTTCTAATGAGTCAGAGGTCCCCTCGATCGGGCAGGAAGACATGAAAAGGTGAAGAGGGCCAGGCGGGACTGGACCGAGGGCAAGCACATCCCACCTCTAAAACTCATTTTGTCAAGTCCAAGTCCACTATGGAATATTCTGTCAGTTTCTCAAGAGAAGCACAAAAAAGAAAGAAAGAAAAAGAAGAAAAATGAAAGAAGTCACTTCTGTATTTGAAGTTGTGTGGCTTTTAACTTTTGGCAAGTGAAATTCACATTTTTAAAAAAACACTGAACAAGAAGACGAGACACTACCACAGCGAGCCATCCACAGACCAAGGCTGGCCCACAGCCCACCAATTTGCAGCCTCTGTCTGGAACAAGAGCCAGGCTCTCCGCAGAGAACCCCTCACTTTCAGCAGGGTCTGATTCACTTTCTGAGCAGTGGATCACACAAACCCCAGAGATCGTAAATTGTGTGACTCTTGAGGTCCATATGTGCCTGGAATTGCTTCAAATGTGTATTCTAAGCAGGAGGCACTCTGCCAGAAACCTGGTGGCTGCTGCTTCTGAGATAGACGTAGATCTGCTGTGAAGAAACTAAAGCTTGCATGAGCCCTGCGGCCCATTTAACAATTTATATTCTCTTTCTTAAGGAGTTTTCCCCAAACTATGTAAGCTTGGGGCTCCCCAAAGGTGAATCTATCCCTGCCCTACTGATACTACTGTTTTTTAGGCCAAATGCACGACACAATCAAATGAGCTAATTGCTGAAGAATTTGGAGTTAACAGGTATTTCTTTTCCCGAAGTCCACAGCGCCAGACAGGATGCCTGTAAAATCGCAGGCGTGCTTTCCAAGGCTTAAAATAGGAAGGGTACTATGTCTAATGCTAGGTTTCTGCATTATGTTTAGTTCATTTAGGGCACCAATGAAATGTGTAGAGATTATAATTATGATTATTGGTGGTACCAAGAGCTGTAGTTGTAAACGGTTGGGTGTAAACAATACAGCAATATCCTAGAATTAAACCGCCCCCTTGCTGGGCATCTGGTGGCATATCACCCAAGCAGCTGGGTAATCAGAGACCACATAAAAGCTGAAGCCTGTCCCACCCCTTTGGGGAGGGTCACTGGCAACTGCAAATGAGAATCGGATCTGTTCTTAAGGGTTCTGAGAATTCAGTGGGATCTTTTCTTCTGGGGACACTGCCTCCTGGAGAGTGATTTCACCTGGAAAAACCTGGGAATCTTATGGAAGCAACAAAGTGACCCTGGACTTTAAGTGGAAGGTAAATTTTCTAAAACCCTAACACAGTGTATCTGTGTGAAAGGAAATGAAACCCACTCTGTAATTTTGTCCCAAGCCAGCTGCCTTCACATTGAGGGACACAGAGAATTTCTAGGGGGACACAGGTAGTGGTAGCTTAACTAAATGCCCTAATTTGAGCTAGACATGATGCAGAACTTCTGGATTCCATTTCAAAATGTCAACTTCCGTTTTTATGCGTTTCAACCCCTTGTTCCACCACTTCCCCATTCCCACCTGCCCTTTACACTAGAGAAGAAAGACCAGTTGCCGCTCCTGCATCTCATTCTGGTACATTTCCTCAGGGTGTAAAACCTTCTAGGATGTTACACAAAGGAACAATTAGAGAATGTAGCCCTTATGCAGGAGAATCAAGAGAGCAAAGTAGAGAGTATTAGTATGAAATGTTTAAGTGGGCAATGCCTTCCTTCATCCAGAAGCACTGGTCGGGTTCCTAAGAATTAGCACCCACATTTATTCAAATTTTAAAATAAAGTCAGACTTTTACTGATTGAATGTGTGATTTGGTTATTTGACAGGCTTGACCATGAGGACTAGCTTTACCAGTTAGATTATATGTCAGGGATTTTCTGTAAATGAGCTAAATCTGAAACACCAAGGTTTACATAAAATAGTTAAAGCATGCATACAAGAGAAAATATATCCCTCGCAATATTTAAATTTGTGATAAAAAATATAGATGCCAACTTAAAAATGAAATCAGATCTAGAGTTTTATAAAACTATTTTGGGGGCTACATGAGCTAAATAAAAGAAGCACTAAGGCAAACCTACTTAACTCAGCTTAATAAAAGTTTACAAATAGTGTCTAGTGTCTAATGTATATATAAAAAACTACAGGGGAACAGAAAAAGCCTCTATTCTTTTTTTAGTATTTTTTTTATTAAAAAGTATCATTGATGTACAATCTTATGATGGTTCCACATGCACAAAACAGTGGTTGAGCATTCACCCACATTACCAAGCCCTTACCATCTCAAATGCAATCACTATATGTCAACGTAGTATATGTTACAGAGTCATTAACTGTATTCTTTGTGCTCTACTACCATCCCTGTGACCTACCTATGTTGTGATTATGAAGTTGAGTGCCCCTTAATCTCCTTCTCCCTCCGCACCCACCCTCCCCAATCATTCCCCTTCGGTAACCACTAGTCCCTATTTGGTGTTAGTGAGTCTACTGTTTTTTTGAGAAACAGCCCCTATTCTTAAATTGCCCATAATCTAGTTCGGAGAGTGAGACAATTAACAACAAGACAGAATGCCATTAAGTGTGACCATAGAAAGCCAGATTCTGTAGGATGCAGACATAGCTGGAGACAGTTAGGTGTCATGCAGCATAAGGGGCATTTTAGTTGGGTTTTGAAGGATGGGTGGGATTTCAAGAGACCGAGGAAGTATAAGGGAGAGAAAAGCATGAGCAAAGTCATAGTTATGACACTTGGAGGTAAGTTAGAGAAACTGTGAATGGTTGGTTTTAACCAGGACTGTATGGGGGGCCTGAGGAGTGGAAGGGGGGACATTAAAGCAGTAGGTTCAGGAAGACCGCAAATGCCATTAGTGACCACAAGAGTTATTAAAGTGTTCTGAGCTGAGCAAAGGTCAAATAAGCATTGGAGGAAAGTCAAGGCAGGCCTGTGGGGAGGCAGGGGACACTCTGTAGGTACTAACGTCATCCCCGGTGAGCAGTGAGGAGACCTGAGCACCAGAATGGTGGGGAGGAGACACTCTTGAGGGAGAACAAGCAGACCTCAGGCTTAGTGGATGCAGAGTCAGGGACAATCAGACGCTTCCAGCCCAGTCGAAAAGGAGAAAATGGGAGGACCAGAGCTACAAGAGGCATCACTGTGGTTTCTGACACGTTAAGTGAGAGCGGCTCTCGGGTCTCCCAGATGGAAATGTTCATCCAGCCCATGATCATAGACTAAAGATGGAGATGCTGCAAAGAGGGTGAGGTTCCAGTGAAAGACTGAGTCTGGGCTTTGAAGTAGACTCCCTAGATCCCTGCTGGACCCCCACCTCCACCCCCAGCCCAAGGCTCTGAACTACCGGGTTGAGATGGGGCCATCTGGGAGGGAAAATTTCATATGCATTATAAATACCTCCACAGAAGTCTTAGAATGCACACAGTGCTTGTTACAGAAAGCAAGGATTCTGGATAGACTGACTTCTTTCTAAAGCCCAGGTGCCACCAAGAAAGACATGAGCCAGTTTATTTCCCCAGTCCTTAACAAGGTAATAAATGTGAGCTGCAAATGGTTCAACTACCATGGACATGGAGAAATTCATAGAAGCCATACTCTAAACCAATATCCCTGTACACCACCCCTTTCACATCCTAAAGATTAGCAGGGGACTAATACTTGGTGACATACCTTCCAGGTCCTTCTGCGTTACCTCATCATAACGGGGATGCCTGGGTTCTTGCTTCTTGATCTGGATTTCCAACTCTGAGATGATCTTAGTGTGCCTCAAAGCACGCTAATGTGAGCAAATCAGCAATTCAAGATAAAGGCTGAGAGCATGTGTATTACACTCACACATGTATACACACACACACATGCAGACTCACACATGCTCAGACATACACCCAGGGACTCTAATTTTAATATTTTTATTGTGACAAAATAATTTATATACCCAAAAAGCATGTAGAAATATATGCATAGCTTACTCAGTTTTAT